AGCAGGAACTAAAACATTGGTTTGTTAGCAACACTTTTGGTCACCAGTGTAAAACACAGCACCATCCAGGCTGCTGTGAGGAAAGCTTACTCCATTCTAGCCAAACCTGGTACACATCCAAAAGAATGCATATCTTTGAACAAAAAAGCAAGCAAAACTCTTGGTTTACTGTATGACTAAGCTTTCCTAGGGTCATAATTCTCCAAAATGCTTTGTTATGTACTTAAGCATTGGAAGCTGGTGAGTTGAAGTACAGCCTGCTGAAAGTCTCCAGAGTCCATTCTGGGAAGAAGGTTAAGTTTTGTGCTTCTCCATAAAATGGCATCCTGTATTATTGAAAAGGGAGGTTATATAGTACATATGTGACTGCTGTGCCGTTTTTAAAACTGCTAATTAAAAGTCTGTGTTATTAATGTTGTCTGTAGGTTCATTCCAGTCTCAGAAAAAGAACTTATTCTACAAAATTGTCAGCAAATGTAAGCACAGAAAGAAGCTTAATGTTCCGGACACAGGTACTGGTGCATTACTTAGTTGAGGTTTTGGATCACGTTCTCTCAATTCAATCTTGGAAAATGCTTCTAGACAGAGGCTACTCTGCTCTCAAGTCTTTGATTGCTTTAGTCCCTTATTTCCTTGTCTTCTTTGGTTCAGTCAGGCCCTGGCTCCAGTTGATCATACTACCTTATTCCAGTATGGCGCTGTTTTGTTTTTAATTGGCGTCTCCCTTAATTACAGTTTCCCTGCTCCAGTTGCTGTGCAGCAGAGGTGACAAAGAAAAGGCAGTTCTGCAGTTGGGTCTGAACTCTTTTATCTTTCACAGCTTGTAGCTCTTTAGTCCTTTGATTGCTCTTATCTCCATCCCTTCTATATCAGAGACCATATTATTTATCCCTCTTCCAAAACATTTGTGCATGTCCCTTATCTCCTTTCCCTATGATTTCCCACTGTCTAGAACTTTGCAACTGGTCAGGATGTAACAGCTTATTTCTGCACCAACTTTCAGAAATACTAATGTAAACCAGCCAACCCTCTGTAGAAATCCAGCTTTCTGTTTGCCTCAGATTGAAGATAACTTTGAGAGTTTTTTAAGTTATGTCCTGGGCTTGCTCTGCCCACTGTCCTCCTGACAGCTCTCCAAAGTCTCTTTCTGGTTGCAGTGTTGTGGTCCTGCATACCTACATGCTCACAACTCTGAAGAACATTTCCAGGTGTACAGTATATGCAGGACTATAGCTTAGCCTGCTCCCCTGGGCCCTTGTTTTTTCTTTCTTTTGTAGTAATGTAGCCCACGCTATCCAAATCATGCCCAGGCTGTTCTTTAGCCCTTCCACAATGGAGTTCTCTCCCACATCATCCCTGTGATGTAGAGGAGCATCTCTGGTTCTGCTTGCTTCAATAGCTCTATGAATTTCTTCCATTTTTTTCCCCCATCCATATCCATAAGATAATAAAATTACTGTCCCACTCTCCAGTTCCCCCAGCTACCTTTTATGCCTAATTCCCTAAGGCTTGGCCAAGTCTTTTCCTGTCCTTTCCTGAGGCTGTGTTTTCAGTCCTCTATGATGCACATGCACTGTTTTCCCACATAGATTCTGCCAGCTCTGCTGCATTCAGTGACGCACGTATTTTGAAATTATTTCCTCTGGTTCATTGTGTTTGTACAACAAACATGGTGTGGGAGTCACATGTGAGATGTAATTATCTTGCTTCCATGCTGGTGTGAAAAAGGCATCATACATTAACACAACTTTTATTTGGTGCCATTCAGATTTCTGTCCCTGAATTATTAATAGACTGTAGACAAATTAGTAAGAAAAATAGGTGTTTAAATTCTCCAGTGGTAAACAGAAAGCATTTGCTACATGATAGAGTAAAAAATACAAATATCTTAAAATCTACAGGTACAAAATGTGGCTAAACAGAATGTCAAAACCTCCATTTCATTAAAAGAAGCCAGCCTGTTTTGATATCAAGTGAAGTGTGCACTGTGATCAAAGATTCAAGCCTGACAAGCATTGAGTACCCTGGCCCCTTTCCAGCACAGTGCAGAGGCCTGTCCTTGGAAGTTAAGCGTGTGACTAATATTGTCATGTCTAAACATTAAAGATATGGCTGCATTTGCTGGAGCAGGGCCAGTTTGCTAAGTTACTCCCAAGACTGAAGAAAAGACACAAGGAGCTTAGCAGTCGTACACAGTCCACGTAGGAATCATCAAAGGAAAGACAGGGGATATATATAGATATATATATAGATATATAGATATATATATATAGATATAGATATATATATATATTGGTGGTGAACTGCATTTTCTCTGAGTTGCAATGGGGGAGAATTTGCCTGCTCTTTAAGTGTACCATGTAGTGGCACTGAAAGCAAAGCACTGATCAGCAAAGTGCAGTGTGTTTGTGATCTTGGCGAGGTGGCATGCAGCCTCACCATCGTGTGCTGCCTATGTAATTGCATCCTGTCATGAGTTCCTAGGCAGCAAAGCCCTAAACTCTGACTCACCCAGCACTTTTATTTCTGTTCAAATATACACAATTCAATGAATTAAACACTAAATGAAAATTTCAAATCTTTTTTGTGGTGAGTCACAAGTGTGGTTTTGCTTTTTGTTGAGTTAATTTTGTTGGAGAAAAGGGCTTGAATATTCCTATAGCTAGAGAGGAGACATTTGGAATGGTTTCTGTCTGCAGAGGTCATGCTGGATTCACATTTTGTCATCTTGAAAAGTGTGTGTGCCTGTGTGCATCTGTGTTTTGAATGAAGAAAAAGTGCAATAAAGGCAATTTTTTACGTGATTGGATCATGTTGTCTGGGTCTGACTGTGGTCTTGAGTACCTAAGTGAATTGGGCCTCCATGTGACAACATCATACACAGCATCCGCAGTGCAAGTTGACAGATAAAAAGTTTGCAGGTGTTTATAGAGATAGATGCAGCCCAGTAAAATACCAGTGGTTATGTCACAAGCCCTGCTCCTAGCGGAGAGCACACAGTAATGTAACTGAATATGTAAAGAGATATGTCACTTCCTTATGAAGGCTGACAGAAGCACAGCTGGACCCATCCCCATTTGGGAGCGTGAACACCACTCAGCTGAGAAATTCACTTTCTTCCACAGTCAAGGCTTTCCCATGGGAAGCAATACTTTAAATAACAAGGGGAAAGTCACATCTGTTGACTCCTTGCAGGTGCATTTGAGTGAGCTGTGCTGGGGCTCTCACATGATTTGTGTAACAGCCAAGTACAATGTTGGCCTTTGCACCAGATGGACGTGTAGACCAGTCTTAACAGTAGCTGGTATGTGAAGGGCCCCAGTCTCCACTGGCTGTTAGGGCTGACTGCCTGCCACTGATCACCCACCAGCTTTCCCACACACACATTAGTCTGTACAGCCTTAGCATGTATGGTTGAGCAAGAACAGACAATTAGTAGAATGACCTTTTCTTTTTTTACTTTCTGCTGAGAAAGCCCTGTTGTGTGGAGCCTGCAGACCAGAGGGAACCAGCATCTCTGTGCCACTGTGCCTTTGGCGTCCATCCAGGCTGGAAGAGGGCTGGGTCAGCATAGGTGCAAGCAGCAGAGCTTCCCAACCAGGCAGCTGTTCCCCTACATGTGGCTTGACGATTTGTTTCCTTGTCAGCTGATGTTGCCCTGCTTGTTAGTCCCCAGCCCTTGCAGCAGTTTCCATGTGCCTCTTGACCCCATGAGCCATATTGCAAGAGTATCCTGTTATCAGAAGAGATGGAATATCCACCCACCTAGGTGTAGGTCAGAGTGTACTTGTTATCAGTTCTTTGGTGAAGTCATTACCCAGGCACTGGTGAAGAGATTTAATAAAAATTATTAAACCTTCACAGGCCACCTTTCCTTCTTGATACCAGCATGCTTGGACCTACAGAGCATTCATTATCCACTAGATGTGGTTGAACTCCTGCAGCTTGCTCTGGTAAATGGGCATTGCTGAAGAAATGGTTTTACATGTCTCATGACTTGCTGAGGCTTAGTCTGAAATGCTTATCTTCTTCTGTGGTGTGCTGAGTCAGCCCAGTTGACTTCATTTTTCATGTACACAAAGGTGATAGCTGTTCAGTCATGGGTGAGATCAGTAGCAAATTCGGCATTTTCAACATAAAGTCCCTCTGTGATTTGAGTGCTTTTTCCAAAGGAAGTTTTGTCTTATCCTGTCCTTGCTCAGCATGGGATAAAGACACTGTGTGCATATGACTGCTACTCCTGAGAGCACCTTGCCTGGTTTTGCTTTAGTTGTATAATGGTGCATTGCAACCTTAAAATCAGGGTTAGCAAAACTGTTCCAATCTCCAGCCACAAGTTTTGCATAAATAGTAAAGTGGTATAAATGAGCAACACCAGAGCAGTGAGTCAGGTCTCTTTGTTGTTTGTTTTCTTTCTTCATTGAGTGTGTTTGGCCTTTTTTTTTTTTTTTTTTTTTTTTTTTTTTTTTTTAAATAGGTTTAAGACTTGAGTTACAGCTAAGGCAGTAGCTCATCTGCTGTGGCAGACTTGTGTTCTGTTGCATGTCATCTTGCGCTCTGCAGTTGGTTCCTTGCAATTGTAAATGGGTGGAAATGAGACCACATGTCCTCTGCAGGCCCACAGAGTAAACTGTCCATGCTAACTTTTAACAAACCTAGCTCAGGAAACCATCTGGCATAGAGCTCTACATGTTTTTCTCTCAAAGCCATTTTTGTGACTGTGGTGTAAGCATGCCAGAAGGCCCACATCTTCCTATCATGTGCTCAGCTCTGCTTGCAAAAATAGTGCTCTAGTTCTGCATGTGCTACTGTTGTGGAAAGCTAATCATGCAGATACCTGTTTGCAGGACTGCACAGTAGCTGCAGAACTCCATTTCATTTTTAGACAACATTCTCCTGAAAATCAGCTGAGCTCTACAAGGGATATGAAAAGGATTAAAGGAAGTAATAAAGACAAATACAGGGCATTGAACTTGTTTAGCCTTGTCTTTTCTGCACAGAAAACCAAGTCCTGGTTTGGAGCATCCATACAGATATACCTTTGTCAGTGGAAGCAGTGGGGTGCTCTTCATCTTGAAAGAGAGGGGGGGGGTGCAGGATCAAGACCCTTGTCAGCACCTATCTGAACTGTGCAGTTGTTGAAGCACATACTCCTTTCTCCTCTGGACTTGAGTGCAAAAGGTCTTGGGGATTAGGCCTTTTTATTTTTTCCTCCAAGTTAGGTTTCTTGTCTGCTAGAATTACAATCCGTAAAGAAGTCAGTGAATTATTCCTCATCCCAGTTTTCACTAAGACTGCTAGAGAAGAAAGAAGCTCTTCCTTCAACACCCACCCTATTCCCCCCTGTCCCTCCATAAAATAAAAATAAAAAAAATTACTCATTCATTCTTCACCCTTAATCTTTCTGTGTTCAAAGCTATATGGCAGCAATGTTATGACTGATAAAGACCTTACTTTGGAGCTAGGGGAGGATCAAAAAATAAAGGATTCACAGGTGTCTTTTCGGTGATTGAGAAACTTTTAAACATGGAAAGGGAATATGCTTGCTGCATCCTGGGTTTGTCAGCCACCTAATAGCTATTTCTTCATCTAACATGCCAACATGGTATACTACTGCAAAATAATCTGTTGCATATTTTCTTAGTTTTACGTCTTTAATAACTATCACTTATTTATGTTTTTACCATTCAAGATTTTGTCTTACCTTTAATTTCTTGAGGGTTTTGATGCGTACAATATGAGAAAGAAAACAAATGTAAAAGGGAGATGTTTGCTGTATTGACTAATCTGGTTAACTTCCAGTGAATTGACATGGCCTGTAATATACAATATATTTAATGAAAACATACCAAATCAGGTTTCTTTCCATCATTTCTTTGTTGTTTAAATCAGGTCTTAATACTTCTATTAAACCCATTTTTTTTAAGTTACTTATCTTACTAAGATTAATGCCATAAACTAAATCAAACTGGAACTAAACAGCACTGTCAAAGTACTACTCTTAATTAGGGCAAATCCCCAAATCAGAATTAACAATTGGTGTTGGACTACAACCAAACCACTACATTAATACATACTCAACACTTATGAATTCCCAAATAAGAAATCTAGAGAGAAAGCTGCTTATTTAATTATACATTCTGATTAAGATTTTGGTCTCAGTCAGTGTAGTCAGCTTGTCAGACTATCTTATGATTAGCCCAACTGCATTACTTTAAAGTCATATTTGCAGTCATTGGCTCTTTACTGATTTGAACTGTTACGGGGCAGATCTTTTCTGATTTCTCTTGCTCTTCCTACAAAAGATAAGTTTTACAGTGTAGCTCTGCTCTGGAAAGGTTATCAGCTATAGCTAAACACTGAGAAAAGCAGATTGAAGCTGTGTGGATTTTTTTCAAAATAAAGAGAATTCACAACTTCCAAAATGTTTTCAGGAGAGGAGATATGAAGGTGAATTAAGACTATAAACAGGCTAAGTTTGGGAACATTTCCAAATGGATTTTATACATATGTACTAGATCTGATTTTACATTTATGCCATAAAACATTAAAAGGTCCCTTCCAACATAAAAGAATATATGGCAACAGCTAACAAGTTAAAATATGTTATAACTGGTCCCTTCACTCAGTCCACATCCTCAGTTAACAGTTACAGAAGCTAGCAAAAGATAAAGATTGTATTAACCATATTTTTAAATAGGAAACTCATTAAATCTGCAAAACAAACAATAAATAAACAGTAAATGCACAGTAAAATGAAAGAGGGCGAAGTTCCTGCAGACTGCTTGGCTGTTGTGCATGGTTTGTGGCGTTGGGTGCTCCTGTGTGACAAAAACAGTCTCTCAGTGTGGGAGGTTGGTTTTGTTCTGTGCTGAGCCCTTCTGAAAGAGCAGTTGTTTGCTTGAATTCCGTGCATGTAATTTTTGCTGGTCCCACCGCCCAGAAAGTGAACAAATGGGTTTTAAATCTATCTTTAAAACGGAAAGAAAAATTGAGAGAAATTGTGGGGAAGAGAAAGCTTAACTGTAGGTACAGTAACAGATGTGACGTATATAAAGGACTGTTGCAAATAAATGGTGTATAACCTGACAGGTAGTAAAGAAAGTAATGAGTTGAAATTGCAGCAGGGGAGATGAGGTGCAGGCACAGGAAAAAAATATGTACTCATTCAAGATTACAGGGCACTGAAAAAACATCCCAAGGACTTGGCGCAGATGCCATGAGTGCCCCCAGTTCAAAACGGATTAGACAGACATCTGTAAGAAATTACTTGGACATTTCCTTTGCTACCTGTGGTTTCTTTCTAACCCGAGCTTAGGGTGGGCCTCATAATACTTTTATCGGAGGAAAAAGGATGTCTCAGATTGAGTTTATGAAGTGCTGATAACCAGTGGTACCAGCAGTATGGCATATTAAATCAATGGAAATTACAAATGGTTAATGACTACAGAGTAGCTTCAGACTTTGGAAGCTTAAATACGTTTTGTGAATGCTATCTGACCAATTTCTTCATGGAGAAGATTGAAGAGGCTGTTTAGTCAGGTGAAAATTTGTGATCATGGTCTGGTTCAGGGCAGAAGGCTACTTTGAAGTGCCAACACTGGTATTGTTGAGAAAGATTCAAACTGTTCTTTCTCGCTCTCTGACTTTATGTGGGCAGTATTTCTGTCACAGTAATTTTATCCCATGCTTGCTTTCCTTTTTTAGCATTCTTGTCTTCAACTGTGATGCAGATCTGCTTTTGTATTTGCTGTATTTTGGGTGGTTTTTAAGGTCATCTGTTTTGTAAAACACAGTAATTCCCTCCGCTTAGAGAAGACAACAGAGACTGTAGAGGGAAGTCCGGGTGTTAGTCAGAATTTCCTGAATTCGGCTTATGAGTCCATCTGTGAGCTAAGATAAGCTTACCTGAGGACTGTTACTGTTCCTTAAATACATTTTGCCTCTTGACTACTTGCAGGCATCTTCTGTTGCAGTGTTTTATACAGGCTGTTGGATACCCTGCTCCCACTGAAGCACTACTGCCCATCTCACAGTTTTCTTTGCAAACTTTATAAACTTGAACTTTCCAGGGATGTCCTTAAAAGCTGATACTACTATGCCCGTGCAAATATCTGCAGCATTCAGATAATATCTTGCCATGGGTTATGCTCTGAGTACCTGCAAGGGAAGGCTTTATGCAGATAGATGCAAAATGTTAAATGAATGTAGCTAGTAGCTGAATTCTTCTACATGTAAAACTATGTTTTTGTCCTCTTTCAGCCATACTTTCAGAAGACAGAAATTCCAGTGAGTTTGCCTGGAAGCATAAAATTTCTCTATCTGCCCTAAACACTCCAGAGCCAGCAATGATGCATGAGCCTTTAGTTGGCAGCCAGAAGAGGAAAGCAAGGAAAACTAAGATCACACATCTTGTCCGAACAGCAGATGGTCGAGTGTCACCAGCAGGAGGGACACTGGGTAAGAAAATGGGAGTTTGAATTTTCTTAATACTGAATGGTTGGAGAAGGTTTGAGAGTACAAGCAACCTATTGGGGAAGTATTCTTCAGTTAACTTACATACATGCTAAGAAAGGTAATTCTTTAAAATACAGATATCACCCTATTGGGAAATCAGTGAGTTAATAATGGATGACTTTTTTTTGTTTGAATGCCCAAATCTGCCTTATCTCCCTGGATATTTCTATCTAAGAACTGAGAGCTGATGTAGAAATAAATGGATAACAGTTACCTTTTATTATTTGTTTCCAGTCCAGCAAAGAAGTTACACTGCACCTTGTTACAGGATGTAAAAATTAATTCCATTATGACAGTCAATGCTGCGGTCCTTGCAGGAATCATCTGCAGTTAATCTTTCAGGACCTCTGTATCTAAAAAGTACTCAAAAGCTCTGTTGCCTGACCTGAAAGATCAAAGGCAGTTAAATGCAAAATGAGTAAACTACTTCATAAACCTCAAAAATCAAAAGTCCTGAAGGTAAAGACTCTGTTAACAACACACTAGCCAGTATCAGCTACTGTGAATTTAAGGGCTACATTTGCAAGCTTAACTTTCTTTTTTTGCAGAAGAGAAGCCAAAAGAGCTGCCACAAAGTACTCTTCAAAAAACATCAAGTGCAGAAACAGATTGCAACAGTGAATGCTCCAGAAATACAGAGAGAGAAGAAAATAATAGTATTACATCAGATATGCCAGCAGTGTCTGCATTTTTCAGCTTAGCTGCTCTGGCAGAGGTAGCAGCCATGGAAAATGTACACAGGTATGGTTTTCTTTTTCCCTTGCTGTCCAAGTGAATAGTATGTGGCTGCCAGCTTCCTCAGAAAGCATGTGAATTGCAGACTGTTTAGTTTGGCCTCTGTGTTTCCTCTTTCACAGCTTTCTGTGAATGTCTGTTTTACACCACATGCTTAGTGGTGTTATGTCTTCACCTAAACAATAATGTAATCTATTTCAGCAATCAGTAAAATGATCCTGGTAAGCTTGCCCACCATTTTTATATATAAACAGGTTTGTATGCTCCTTTAGATCCTAATGATTGAGGGTTTCTAATTACCAGATGTTGATTGTCAGATAATAGCAGATTTAAGTAGGTATTGCGTGCTGATTTACATTTTTTCAGTGGTCTAAGACTGTGGACACAATTTCATAGAACTTCAGTTGAAGCTTTTGTGCTAAACTTGGCTGAAGGAAGCCAACTTGTTATTTTCACTCTTGTGCTTTGCTCTGTAGGAGGCAAAGCATCTGCAGAATGGCATGGGACAAAGCAACTCTGGGTGATGGAAAGCCACTTCAGTTTGGGTTGGTCCTCTCAGTTACCGAGTAGATCTTCCACACAGCTAAGATAGAGAATGTGCAGGTTACTTAGGGCTGTTGGATCACAGCATGGTTAGATACTGCATGTTAGACCTGTGATGGCAGGAAACCAATGACAGCAAGTTCTCGTTGGCTCTTAATTATCCAGTGTTTTTCCTTGATGCTGCAGCATCCTTTTCTGCAGTGGAAGGTCAGTGAGAAAGTGCTGGGCCAGTCTGAAACCATCAGTCTCTGCAAATGACAAATACTAGATTGCTAGCTACCTAACCATAAGGCAATTAAACCATTCACAACCTTAGTTTACTGGTGGTCTTGTGGCCCTCATTAGCCAACGTTATCCTGTGTGTTCAGGCTGTGCAACAAGCATTGAGAGGCTTTTTAGAAGTTCAGGGGCCTTACCAGAAAAAGCAGTTAGTCAAAGTCTTCTAGCTCTTCTCAACAGAAGCAGTTGTCTTGCTTAAACAATTCTGTTTTGGATGAGAAGTGTTTTCACACTGCATTTGGCCTGGCCTTTCTTCCCAGCTTTGCAATGCAAGGGTCTGCTATCAAGACTGCAAAAGTCTGAACTTGTCGTTTTCTTTGGTCAGAAGTCACAAATGGATACTTAGGAAGTGCTGTGCTGAGCTCTGCTCTCCCACACGCCCCTGTGGTTTCATTGATTTCCATTAACACTGACCAGAATTGCACAAGAACATCAAAATTCACTTCACTGTGGTTTTTCCCTCTTTGTTCCTCTAAGAGTTCTTTTTCTCTACTTGTCCCTGTTTAAGTGAGCTATTGCTTTACGTAGCCTTCTGTTTGGGTCTTTCATAGTCCCACCTTTTGTCATCTCATCATGTAGGTAGAGCAATGCAGCATTTTCTGTGAGGCTTGGAAACACCAAACCATCACATGTCCAGGAGCTGTTGCAAATTCCAGGTTCTAATCACCCCAGGGGGAAGAAAACGGGAGGACTCTTCCCAGTATAAAGTTAGCCAGGTCCCTCACAGTCTTGGCAAGTTGAAGTCTGAACAGAAACCTAAATCTGATGGGTTAGATGCTTCTCTGTTTTCTACTCTGATAACTTTTTATGTTTTGCAGCTCACCTCTTGATTTTCAAATTAAGAAATGAGAACAGAATTAGAGGTTTGCTTGATGTGCTTTGTCAGTGTCTGAATTTAATTATTAAATAATTTTAACGAGCCTTGGGCCATGGAACCTAAAGTCCTTTTTCCCTGTAACTAGAATATGTCTGGAAGTGGCAGCATGGTTTTCATTTGAAGGCGCCTGTTTGGCTTCATTTACTTAGTTCATGCCCTGGCCAAGCACTGTGAGCGTGAGCTGCAGCTTGTGCCAAAGCCACCTCGTTGCACTCCAGCTGTGTGAAGCAAGTTGGTACCTCGGTTTCTGTTGTGGTCTTAGCTGTGCAAGAGTGAGGTAAAGTGGCCCCTTTGTGGAAATGAGAAGTGAGCCCCAGATTTTCATTGCTGCTGCAAGTGACACATACAGTAACAAAAATAGAACCTGACTTGTGAGATTAGATAACAGGTGGTGACGTGCTTTGTGTATGTATTTTAAAAGGCAAGCTGCAAAGGAGTCCTCCCAGGTCCATCTGCTACAATGATTGATGTTGATTTCCAGTACATAATTCTGGCACAGTTTATTTTTATGATACCCTGTGCCAAGGGATCATTTGTACATTAACACTGCTGTAGTAATGAAAGAGATATTGTGCTGTGCTGATGAGGTGTTAGGTCATGAAACTTGGAGTAATTCCAGCATGCAACTCTGCTGATGAGTATATTTCCGTATTGCTTAAAAGCTGACTATTGACTGGCATTAACATGACACATGCCTCTGTGCGTTTACTTTCTTTTGCCTTCTACACATGAGCTGTGTTGTCTGGAGGCCTGAAGCCACTCCCCCACAAAATGAGTAGCAGCACTTGTGTACTCTCCAACTTAACTCTCCAGCTGCGCATTTTGGTTTGTGTAGACAAATACCACTGCGTCTTGGTTTTGCCTGACATTGTGTTGCGTTGCAGGTTGTCCTTAGGACATTGTGTTACCATTGCAGGAATACCTCCAAAAAGAGTGTCTGACAGTGCTATGGGAGCATCTGTAGCAGCAGAGAGCTGTGGTGCTGTCATGTCAGATGTTAAACCAAATCATGTGCTGTTTTCCATCCTTTCTGATCTGATACAAGCACCTCCTGTGCCACAAATAATCATAGGTGGCTTTTCTTTTCTTATTTTGCAGAAGTCAGAGGGCCACACCTCTCCCACATGACGGACAGCCAAATGAAATGTCTCAGGCTCCAGTGCTTATTTCCTGCGCTGACCAGTGAAGCTCCACTTTATTGTAAAACGTTGTGCTTTACCTAATAACCTAGCCTTTTCTTTACCAAGGGAAGCTAGTCAGTCCATATGATGGAAACTATAGACTGCAAGCGAGTGCTTATTGCTCTGAGTGGCCCAGAATTCACTGGAAGCCAGACATTAGCAACTTGGGCCAGGTCCTCAAATCGGAACCCAGTATGTAGGAGGGTGATATTGTCTATTAATGAACAGAAATGGAATGATCCTAGAGCTTGCTTTCTGTTGAAGGCTTTTAAACAGTAAATAGGTGGTTGGTGTGAAAAAGGCTGCCTTTACTGTTAGCTCACACTCTTTTACCAACCAGAGAGTATGGCAACTAGTTTCATATAATACCTAGTTATTCTAAATGAAAAAAAAAAACAAACAACAACAAAAACACTGACGCACTGCACTAGTTATTATTAGATATTCTTAGTCATTTTTGTACATGAAGATTTAAGTTCTAAGATGGTTTATATTAATAGGTTATGCCTACGTTTATATTGTAGAGTGAATTTAAAACCTGTTCCAGAGAACTCAAGGCAGCCTGGACAGATGTACCATTGTTAGCGGTGTTTGGGCAGCCATGTGGTCCAGATGTTCTGCACTTTTATATTTGCCACCAGAGTGGTAGAGTTTACTGGCAAAAATTGTGACAGGCTATGTTTGGGTTTGCTTCTTTTTAATTTAGCTTTGAATAACCAGGATGATGTGCATTAGAAAAAGGAGTGGTGTATGGAAAAGAAAATACTGCAGATAATTGACTTCTGTTTCATGCCTTGAAGGGTTCCTTTATTTTTTGCCTAGATATCTGAGCAACTTGGTGAAACTTTCCTATAAACAAAAAGTACTGCAAATGCGTTTTTCAAAAGTGACCTTAGTATTATTTCACTGTTCTGAGAAACCTGAAATTGTGACTTTTCGATACACATGTACACCAACACACATACCTGTTACATTTTGCAGCCACTGGCATTGTTGTAGTTACTATGCACAGTCCAAATCCGCCTCAGAGTTTGCATAAAGGGCCAATTACAGTTTGTGTTGGAAAAGTGGGAAGTTGTATCCAGATGAACTACAACTGAAGAGTAACGTTTCACTGAACTCAGACTACCAAACAGACCCATCTGCCAGTTTCTGTCTTTGCTTATGTTGAATTTTTGTGTTTTGCTCTCATAAGTACATCCCAAAAGCAGGCAAAGTGCATCACTTGGCCTGTTACCTTTGCTATCTTGACTTACACCATTGTATAACTAAGCATTGATTCCTACCAACAATTGCAAAATGATCACTAGTAATTGATCTAAAGCTACAAATTCAACAGGGTACTTCTTCTATAGCACAAGATGTTTCCCTACGTTTTGCATTGTAGCACAACAATTTACCAAATTGGACTCCAGCAATAATTTTCTATTAGTCTTCGTCATACTGGCTGAACTTTTGATAGTATTAGATTGAGTTTGAAGTTCTTTGAATTAAGTCTTGAAATGATGCAAGTTTACATCATTCTACCAGGCATTCTTATTTATACTTGACTGAATTGATAATGTGTTTTGGGGTTATTTTGTAACTAATTTGATGTAATAGCCATATGGACAGTATCTATTAATGCTTGCTCGGTTTAGCCTTTCATTCTTGTAGTTAAGTGAAAGTCTTTGGTTCAGTGTCGGGGAAACAATATACAACAAACCACATGAGATGTAACAAAGGATTAAAGGTCTGACAAAAGGCAGGTAGCTGGGGAAGAAGTGTCACTGAAACAGCACCATGGACGATACATGTGTTGGAAGAGGTGAACAACAGCAAAAGAACAAGAAAACTTACAAGCCAATGAGTCAGTGAAAAGGCTTTTTTAAAATTCAGGTGAATATATAATGAAGAGCCCCTAGAATGCCATTGCAGCCTATGGCAGTATTTTTAATAAGATTTTATTAAAGTTTTGTAAGTTATTTTAACAAAAGAGGAGAAACTTAAGACTTAAACTGTTGGGTCACAGCAAGGTGGCTGTTGGAGTTTTGGACCACTTTATAATTAGCTGAAATCCAAATATGTTACAGTGCAGGCCGTTCACGTTGACAATGGTACTAACTTATTTCTCTAGAAACCTTTAGAGTAGATATATTTTTGTCAAAGCACCCCATCCCTCCTCGATTTAAATTTCAATATTGTTCCTGAAGATATTTCTGTATATTAATGGTACCTTTTTTAAAAGAAACAGAAAATTACTTTTTTCTATATGGATTAATATCTTACTTGATCTGCTTTTCCTTGACTTTCCCTTAGAGAGGGGGTAGGGTTGGGTCAGTTTACTGGATATGACTGTTTTCAGATACTTATAAACCTTTTTGTAGATATGCTTAATTTTTAAGCGATTAGGCACTGAGAGTAGCAGAAATCCTGCAAAGCTTTATAGTTCACTAGGCATTTGCCTTTGTTGGTTCTCTGAGTGATGTCTTGATTTCAGTAGCTAGAATTTTCCCTTAATCTACTAGAAGGGGTATCAGTATTTTCAGGTAAAAAAGTCTGTTAGCACAACAAAAATTTCAGACCAATATCTTACTGTATTGGGGTTGGGTTTTTTCCTTGTTTGTTTTGTTTTAATTTTTATTAATTTCAGCTGCTTTCATTTTGGAAAATCTAATTGCTATTGTGTGTACTTCAGTATACCAGCAAACACTGTTACCCGTTAACACGTTGTCCACAAATGCCTCTAGAGAAGAAATTGTTGCACCTTATGTATATCTCAAGCAAACCAAAATATGATGCTTTTCTGCTTTGTTTATTCTGAATATGTTGTATCATACTTTACTGAACCCATTTTAACTTAGCTAAAGCTATCGATATTTATGCATTTCACATTATTTTCTGGATCTGAACCTGTGTATAAATCTTTCTTTAAAAAAAAAAAAAGCATTTACCGTATTCGTCCTCTGTGACTTCTCCATGGGAGGGGGGGAATCTTGTCTCAAGTGTAAAATGCAGTACTGTCCCAGTTTTCCTTGGCTTTTATTTATTTAGTGATCTTTGATATTTCATATGTAGTTTTGAGGTATACAAAATACATTGCTGTAGCCAAAGCTACAGATCTGAGCAGCTGGGAGGAAAATACTGTAATGTCTTCTTAATTGTTTAGTACTGTATACAAATACGGGAAAAATGTTCTGCAGAACATTTGAGATGCAGATTCTTAACCCCACAGTAGGTTATTTTCCACATATAAGACCAAATCAATCAAAACTCAATGATCTTAAAGGTCTTTTTGATCCTAAATGATTATATGATTCTAAAAACATCTATCAAGATTACTTAGTGCTCTGCTTATGGCAGTAGCTAGCCCTCGAATGTGCTGTGATTTCAGAAATAGAATATATTTATTTAAGATAACTGAATGCTCTTTTATACTAATATAATATCCCAAAGTAATGAGCAAGAGACTTCTTGGTAGTTTGGGTTTCTATTTTATAGCATTGGTGCATGACTTTTGAAACTAAAGTGATAAGTGTTGTTAGAAGGGGGCACAGGAACAAGGGACTGGTAGAAGTGTGTGAACTTGTGGTGTTTAAATTTCAGCTTTGGTCATTTTATTTGGGTGAAAGCTGCCTTTGTAGCACAAGGCTGAAGAGCACTCTGCAGTTTGTATCAAGTAGAAACCGAAGAGAGTTGTAACTCACATCAGAATGAGGGAATGCCTTGTAGTTTGGACACTGTCTTTTGGAACAAGATACTAAATTGAAGCAGTTTTAATTTCCACTGCCTGTTTAGCTGCTGTAAGGGTACTGAACAGACTGAAGGCAACAGTTGTAGACGTGGGACAACTAAGATAGGATGAAAGGAAAGCTGCCCATTGTTCTCAGTATGGCAAAGTTATGGCAACAAAGGGGAATTGGGAAAAACAATAGATGTATATGTGTGTGTGTATAAGCGCGTGTGTGTGCCTGGGTGTGTACATTCTGAAAAAAAAAAAAAAAGTATAGAAAAAAAACCATAATGGGTCTGCAAGAGACTTAAATGTATGTTGACCCTTCGAGTGCACTCCCTTTTTCGGAATGCTGAGTCTAATATGGCTACCTCTCCTAAAAGACTACTTTTGTTAATTTCCATTTGCTTTCAGGCTCGTTGGTGTGATCTTTTCAGCCATTGATACCATTTGTATATCACTGTGCTTTATTTTCCAAGAGCAACGTTTATATAGTGCAGACAACATGAAGGTTGAATATGCAGTGGTAGCCAAACTGTTGCTGGAGCCTTTTTGTTTAACCTCTGCCATAGTCATATGGGTTGCAGGACGTGGGCCTCGCCAGCTCTGGTTGGTTCAGTGAGATTGGGTTTTGTGTCAGCAGAAAATGCAGTGCTGATGGGATGGGGGACTTCAGATCTTGCCAGAGGTGACACAGTAAGCCGAATGCTGCTCTTGAAACTTGCTCTGGAGTTTACGTTTGCAAGTTGTGTGTTGTATACCATACATTACCCACTAGATGCCGTTTTTTTGCTGTGCTTGTTTCATAGACTGCAGAGCTGCTAGGTATCTTTGCCATGTTTTGTGTTACTTGTGGCATTCTCTTTATCTTGTACATATTGTGAAACTGTCACCTACAACTGCCAGGACGCTGAGGCACTTGAGGACCCTGAGCGCTGTGAACGAGTGCATTTAGGCTGTGAAAGAGTTACAGGCCTCCTCCCCTGAATTCCCCAATAAAAGGCACAGTGAGGTTTATGCTCTCACCTAAGTACTATTATAGTAATTTATATACTCAGTATTTTCTACTGGATTGACAATTTTGAACAAGCTTATCAGATGGATGTATATTTTATGTTCCCCCACTAACTCATCTAAGGCAGAAATCTAGGAAGACATGACAGGAGATCTCCAGTCAGCACAGCTGAGCTTACACTGAAAACCATCCTCACTTAAGGGGCAGCATTGTTTGCACCATGACAGTGCAGGAACCCCGATGATGGACCACTACGCTCTTGGACTTAAGCTTGGGCTTGTGTGTGATGTTCCTGGGGGAGGCATGTCATTGTGACCTAGAGCCTTCATTGACATGGAATTTTAAAAATGACTGCAAATATCTTCACATTTATTGATTTCTTCCAAAGAATTATATTGTTGTTTCTGGGTCTGGACCGTATACCAGCAGACCCATACTGTAGTCTACTGAAAAAAAACCCTACACCTGTACAGGCCAACTAACCAGGCTTCTGAATGTAATAATCTGATCTACTCTTTTCATCCCTACAACTGAAACCTTATTTTCCCCCACAGGCAGCTACTCTTTAATCAGTGGTTGGGGCTTTGAAGGTGATAAAACCAAGAGAGGCATAGATGTGCTGGTGTCTGTGTGTATGTATACATCTGCATAAACACATACACATGGGAATGCAGT